AGCTGGTGAGCTTGAACTGCCGACCTTATAGGTCAAACGGCTTTGCAGTCTGGCGCATTAACCCATAAAGGAAGATAAAATGGTATCTTACTTTAATAACTTTGTCTACTCCTAATAATTGCTTACTGTTTTTTTTTTAAGTGTTAATTTTATGACATCTCTTTGGAGTTGAAAGGTATTGTTTACTCCTTATCTAAGGTGAGGTCAAATATATTAACCTTACCTACAATGCACTGAATTTTTGTTTATTAACTACTAAAATGATTATTGATTTGAGTACATTACTATGCCTTTATATTCTGGTTTTTCTTGCATAAATTGAAAGTTGTTTTAGACCAAGGATCGGTAATAGCCATATACAGCTCATAATCTGTTTTTAGTATAACCCAAGGGCTAAGAACTCTACATTCTGAAAGGATTTTTTTATACTTTCCATAAAATCGTGATAGAAAAGATAACACCATTCAAGAAGTTGAATGAACACCAAACAAGATAGACCATAAAAGAAAAACAAGACATATTATACTCAAACATAGTATATAGCCCATGAGCTAATGATGATTACATTTTGAAAGGATTTATTTTTTTAATGAATGAAAAATAGTGCCTCTTTGGTAAAATATATTGTTGTAAGATGCCATCCTATCAGTTCTGACCCACAGCGACCCCTATGCAAAGCAGAATGAAACACTGCCAGATCCTGGACCAACCTCACTACTGTTGTCACACTTGAGTCCATCAATGCTGCCACTTAGCTAATCCATCTTGTTGGGGGTCTTCCTCTTTTTCTCTGACCCTCCACCTTACCAAACATGATATCCTTCTCCAGTGACTGGTCCCTCCTGACAATAGGTCCAAAGAATGACAAACGAAGTTTGGCCATCTTAGCCTCCAAGGAGCACTCTGGCTGCACTTCTTCCAAAACGGATCTCTTGGTTCTTTTGGCAGCCCATGACACTTACAATATTCTCCTCTAACACCGTAACTCAAAAACATCAATTCTTTTTTTTTTTAAAGCATCACTTCTTCTATGGTCTTTCTTATTCACTGTCCAGCTTTCACATGCATATGAGGTTATTGAAAATACCATGGCTTGGGTCAGGAGCAACTTAGTCCTTAAGCTGACATCTTTGCTCTTCAACATTTTAAAAATGTCTTGTGCAGCAGAGTTGCCTAATACAATACGCCATTTGGTTTCTTGATTCCTGCTTCCTTGAGTGTTGATAGTTGATCCAAGAAGAATGAAGTCCTTAACAACTTCAATCTTTTCTCCGTTGATGATAATGTTGTTTATTGGTCCAGTGGTGAGGAATTTTGTTTTTTTGACATTGAGATGTAATCCATACCGAAAGCTGTGCTCGTTGATCTTCATCAGTAAATGTTTTAAGTCCTCTTCACTTTCAGCAAGCAAGGTTGTGTATAATCTGCATATCACAGGGTGTTAATGAGTCTTCCTCCAATCTGGATGCCATGTTTTTCGTCATATAACCCACCTTTTCTGATTATTTGCTCAGCATACAAGTTGAGTAGGTATGGTGAAAGAATACAACTTGTCGCATACCTTTTTAAATTTTAAACCATTCAGTGTTCCCATGTTCTGTTTGAAAAACTCCTTCTTGGTCCATGTACAGATTCCTCATGAGCACAAAAGTGTTCTGGAAAACTCATACTTCACAATGTTGTCCATAGCTTGTCATGATTCACACAATCGAAAGCCTTTGGGTAGTCAGTAAAGCTCAGGTAAACATCTTTTTGGTATTCTCTGCTTTCAGCCAAGATACATCAAGACATCAGTAATGATATCCCTCGTTCCATGGCCTCTTCTGATCCAGCTTGAACCTCTGGAAGTTCTGTCAGTGTATGCTTGCAGCTGTTTCTGCATTAATCTTTAGCAAAACTTTACTTGCATGGGATATCAAAGAGATTGTCTGATTTCCGCATTCTGTCGGGTCACCTTTCTTTGGAATGGGCAAAAATAGGGATCTCTTCCTATCAGTCAGCCAGATAGTTGTCTTCCAAATTTCTTGGCAGAAATGAGTGAGTGCCTCCTGTGCCGCCTCACTTTCTTGAATGATTTCAATTTTTATTCCATCAATTCCTGGTGCCTTGTTCTCTGCCAATTCCTTCAAAGCACCATGGACTTCCTCCTTCAGTATCATTGGCTCTTGATCATATGCTACCTCTAGAATGGCTGAACATTAATCATTTCCTTTTGGTACATTGACTCTTTGTATTCCTTCCATCTTCTTTTGATGTCTTCTGCATCATTCAATAATTTGCCCAGAGAATCTTTCAATAACGAAAGTTGAGGCTTGAATTTTTTCTTCAGTTCCCCCAGCTGGAGAAATATTGAGCATGTTCTTCCTATTTGGCTTTCTGATTCCAGATCTTTGCACATTTTGTTGTAATATTTGTTTTTGTCTTCTTGAGCTGATCTTTGAAATGTTCTATTCAGCTCTTGGACCTCCTCATTTCTTCCATTTGCTTTAGCATCTCTACACTGGAGAACAAGTTTCAGTGTCTCTTCTGACATTCATTTTGACCTTTTCCTTCTTTCTTTTTTTTTTTTTTATTGAATTATGATCATGGAGTGATTTTATTTTATGATTGTTGGTACATTTTCTTTTTCAGTAAATGATTTGATCATTTTCCTGGTCACTTTTTTTCTAGTAGATTGCATTACTTTTTGCTTTTTTTTTTTTTTTTGTAAAGGTTCATGTATAAATAGGAAATGAATTAAGTGAAAATTTACAGATTCATCATTAATTTTGCATTCAACAAATCATACACTTCCTTTCATTCCAATGACTGCAATCCTCTCAATGTAACATCACTTATACCACTTCCTCCCTGGGTTTCTTATTTTCATTCTTTCTTCTTTCTGCTCCCTTCTGACTTGTGCCCTTACGTAAATGCCCCCTTTTAATCTCTAATGGTTGATCATTCTAGTGTTGTTGTCTCCTGCCGTCCCCATATTTTAATTTCCTGTCTAAAAATTGAGCCATGGGGTTGCGTTCAATTCAAGACATGAAAGGGCATAGTGTCAGGGTTCCACATGCTACTGGTCGGTCTCTGTATGATCAGTTAGCCTGATCTTTTTATGATTTTGACTTTTTCCTCTCACTTTATCCAGGACCTTCTACTGTGATCCCTTTCAGAGCGGTTGGTAGTGTTAGCATGGCACCATTGAGTTCTTCTGGTCTCAGGGTCATGGAGACCAATGTTCACATGTTCCATTAGTCTAATTGTTTGCAAGCATCTTCAATTTTCATCCCTCTTCTTTCTTCTGGTCACAGAGAGACTAGCAGTTGCATCTTAGATGGCCATTTATGATTCCAGCCACTACTCACCAAAGTAGGATATAGAACATTGTCTTTATGGACTTTGTTATGACAATTGACCTTTGTCCCCAAGATTATGGTCTTGAGTCCCCAGGCCCAGCAAATCATTCTCTCAAGGTGTTTGGTAATGTCTTAGGAATTTTTCATAACTTTGCCTTCTGTATGCACCACCACACTCATAAGTGTTTGCAGCAAAAGTAAATGCCCATGTACAAATATCCTGTCAACCCTTTATATATTTGTGGGTATACTCACTCTCCTTCTCACGCCTGTTCAGCCTGTTTACCTATCCATATGTCTATCCATTGATTGCTGTTATTGCATGATTGTGCATATAACATTATTTGCCTCTGTTCCCTTAAACTCTTATACTTCTCCCCGTGTCTTCTCTTCTTGCCTTCATCATTCTTCTGCCAACCTTCCTTTTGTTGTATGTTGCTTTCCCCATCACCCAAGTTAGCATGTGACTGCTGTCTAGTCATTTATGTTGTTGGAAAAAGTATTTGAAGAGAAATTGCAAAATTCTAATATGCAATCCCATATCATTTCTATCTCCAAGACCATATTTCCCAACTACTGATCTTTCCTTTTTGTTTCCAAATTTGCATTCTAAATCACTAAAAATTATCAATGCATGTTGATTGCATGTTAGATCAATTTCAGTCTAAAGAAGTTGGTAGAATTCTTCAATTTCATCATCACTAATTTTAGTGGTTGGTTTTTCCTTCTTTCTTGTCTTCTCAGTGACTTTTGCTTTCTTCTTGTATGATGTTCTTGATGTCATCCCACAACTTTTCTGGTCTTCGGTCTTTAGTGTTTAATGTATCAAATCTGCTCTTCAAATGATCTCTAAATCCAGGTGGGATATATTCAAGGTCATATTTTGGCTCTTGTGGACTTGTTTTCATTTTCTTCAGCTTCAGTTTGAATTTGCATATGAGTAATTGATGGTCTGTTCCACATTCTGCCCCTGGCCTTGTTTTTACTGATGATATTGAGCATTTCCATTGTCTCTTTCTGCAGATGTAGTGAGTTTGACTTCTGTGTATTCCATCTGGTGAGGTCCATGTGTATAGTCATCTCTTATGCTGTCTAAAGAACGTATTTGAAATGAACAAATCATTGGTTTTGCCGAATTCTATCATGCGATCTCCACCATCTTTTCTATCACCAAGGCCATATTTTCCAACTACTGATCCTTCCTCTCTGCTCCCAGTCTTTGCATTCCAATCACCAGTAATGATCCATACATTTTGATTGCATGTTTGATCAATTTCAGATTGAAGAAGTCGAAATAATGCTTTTATTTCATTCTCTCTGGCTTTAGTGGTTGGTGCGTGAATTTGAATAATAGTGGTATTAACTGGTCTTTCCTGTAGATGCATGGATATTATCCTATCACAGACAGCATTGTACCTCATGACTGATCTGGATTTGTTGCATGTTAAATAAGCTGTATTTATATGTGACAATATAAGTTTGAAATTTTTGAATTTCCTTGTAAAAATTTTTTTTTCTTTTTTTTTTTAAGGATAACTAGAATATAAAATAATACCTTGGCATAGGAATATCTAAGACATTTCTTGAAATTTAATTATTAAATAGTACATTGTCATATTTTCCATAATATATCCACTATCTTTTTATATTTCTATTTAGATAGAAGCAGATTTGGGATATCCTGGAGGTAAAGCAAGAATTATTCATAAGGAATCTGATATTATTACTGCTTTTGCTGTTAATAAAGTAAGTCCATAGACAATGTCCTTTTCACAATTGGAGTATGTCTGGTCTCTTAAGTTTATTTAATATCAGTGTTTCTCATTGCCACAGCTACTTTCTACTCTTTAATTTTCAGTTAGGATTGCTAAAAATTTCACGAATATGTTATGTGATAATTATAGCAAATAATTATTTAATTTTTGATCTACAATACATTTTTTCTTACTGTGCAGGGAAGTAGCCTTTATATCTGTTGTAGCCTTTAGAATTTATACAACATTATTAACAGTTTGAGTTCATTAAAAGTGGTTCTTATATTTAATTAAGTTCAAGCTTACATATGACACATTGAAATTTTTCCCCTGAATTATACCTCCAGTCAGTGCCTAAAGAGCTCTGGTGGAGCAGTGAGTTAAGCATTGGGCTAACCACAAGGTCAGCTTTTCAAACTCTCCAGGACTCCATAAGAGACAAGTTAGGCTATCTGCCTATCTATGGTTCTCTTTGAATTGGAGTCAACAGCAGTGGGTTTTTAAGTAGCCAGCTAATAATGTATTTTTTTACTCCTCTGCCATTTAATTAGCATTCATCTTAGAAATGTCTATGAGTTTCTGTCAGGAGAGATTACCTTAGGCCCAGTGGACCTAGCTTGAAATTTAGTCATTTTCATCATTCTTCCTTGATTGCCATACTGCAAAGTTTTTAATAATTTCTAGTCACTATTAATAATATAATAGTGATAATAATAAGTAATATAATAGTGATATAATAGTAATATAATAAGGAGCTCTCTGTTAGCATAGTGGTTTCGAATCAGGCTGCGAACCTTAAGGTCAGCAGTTAGAAACTACCAGCTGTTCCGCAGGAGAAAGATGAGGCTTTCTGCTCCCGTAAAGATTTATAGTCTCAAACCCTGTATAGGGTCGCTATGAGTTGGAACCAGCTCCACAGCACTTAACATAACCATTAATAATATATACTTACATTTAAACATTTATAATTTTCATGTGTCCCTATTAATTTTTTTTAATATAGTCTTGATTTTTAATTCAAAGTTTTAGATATATTTCCTAGATGTATTATCTTTCTGATTCACATTGTTGTTGTTGCTATGTTAAGTGCCGTCACTTAACAACAATGGTTCCGACCCATAGCAACCCTTTATAGGGTTTCTGAGGAACAGCTGGTTCAAACCAACTTTGCAATCCAGTGCATTAACATACAGTGCCACACCAATAACCCTTTTCAACAGTTAATTTTCCACCTTACTATGCTGTCTGTTTTCATTTCTTCTAGTTCCTTTGTCATTCTGCCCTTATAACCCTGTGCCCTTTCTCTCATAGACATATCTGATGAGTGATTAATTCTGTTTAAGGTAGGCAAGTCTAGAATTAGCCTTTTTTTCAGGCAGTTCTCATGTTGTAATTCTGAGATAATATAGTTCTTTTTCTAGAGGTCCTCAAAGACAAAATAGTCTGTGCCCTATAATATCTGCCCCACCCCCAAAAAAAGGTTTTCATGTGTTCTTTGCTATGAAAATTAACTTTTCAAGTATGTAATAATGACCAAGCATTCAAATAAATAAAATGTACCTTTCTCTGTGTATGCTGCTAGTGCTGTCAAGTTGGTTCCAGTCTGTAGCAAACCTCTGTAGGATTTCTGAGGATCAGCTAGTGGTTTTGAACTGCCAACCTTGCAGTTAGCAGCCCAGTGCTTATATTGTGTACCACATGAGAACTCCTCCTCTGTGTACGAGTATGCCTAGCTAACTTTTATTTTTTCAAAAAAAATTGTGTGTGTGGTTTTTCTTTTTTCCTTTTTTACAGTCTTGCTAGATTTATAGCTGAGAAATGGCACTGCCTTAATTTCTCAGTGCTTTACAATAAGTAAAATACCACAGATGGTTGAGTTTAAAGAACAGATATTTATTTCCTAATGGTTCAGGAGTTTAGAAGTCTGAATTCAGAATGTGGCTTTATGGGGAGGTACTTTTGTGTCAATCTCAGCTTCTAGAAATTGCCAGCAATCCTAGGTTTGTAGCTACATGTCTCTGTCCTCTGTCCACAAGCAAATGTTTGTCTTTTTGTCTATTCTGTTTTCATAACCCAGAAGTGATAAGGTTTAAGACCTTATCATCCAAATTTTAAAAGGGGAACAAACTAAAAAAAATTCCAGTGAGATTATATTATCTGTGTTATAAGAACTAAAAGGTCTGAGATTTTATCCTTCATTCAAGCTAACAAGGTACATAGTATGCACATTTACAGCATAGTTACCATTACAAGATATAAGACCCCTGGATCAGACAAAATAAAATTGCTGCTAACACCAAATAGCCAAAGTATTCGCATTTTTTCCTTGATTCCTTGGTACATTTCCTAGTTAGACAAATTGGTCCAAGTGATTCCTACTTAGGCAGTGAGTTGCATTCAGGATAGAACACTGAGTAAAGAGAACCCAAAGCCTTCTGACAGCAAGTAATGCCTGCCGTATGTTCTAGAGCACAGGTAGGGAACCTTTTTTCTGCCAAAATTTATGACATCATTCCCACGCCATACAAAATTGTCAACTTAAAAATTAGCCTGCTGTATTTGGTCAAAAGGAGCTCTGGTAGCACAGTGGTTACGAGTTAGGCTGCTAATTTCAAGGTCAGCAGTTTGAAACTACCAGCCATTCCACAGGTAAAGATGAGGCTTTCTGCTCCCGTAAAGATTTACAGCCTTGGAAAGCCCTATACAGAGTTGCTATGAGTCGGAACCGACTCCACGGCACACTACCACCACCACCACCATATTTGGTGTAACATTTAATTAACTCACCCTTAATGTGATGGCTAAGGAGCTCTGGTAGTGTAGTGGTTACAAATCGGGCTGCGAACCGCAATGTCAGCAGTTCGAAACTACCAGCTGCTCCGCGGGAGAAAGATGAGGCTTTCTGCTCCTGTAAAGATTTACAGCCTCGGAAACCCTGTTCACCGTCACTATGGGTTGGAACTGACTCCATGGCACTTAACAACAATGTGATGGCTAGAACTGTGGTTGCCTTGGCAGGGCCAGCCAAATGATTTTGTGAACCTTCTAGGTCCCATGGGCTGTACGTTCCCCACCACTGTTCTTGAAGGAGAAACTGTCCCTATCATCCAATAATCTTAAGTCAGTTTGTCCTTGGCTCTGGAGGGAAAGACTATTACATACAAAAACATCCTTGAAATAATACTCTAGAACAAAGGCTAGCCAATGACTCACATGATGTGTAGAAATGGAGAGACCCATTGAGAATTGTGTCTTGGCAATCCATTTAGCAATCCATTTGACATTTTTTACTTTTGTATCTGGGATCTTAGTTTTTTCTGTTAGTTTGTATTGGCATTTCATATAATGAAAATATTAATCATACCTTCTTTTTGCTTTCATTTTCTTCCCCAAGTAATATGTTTTAGAGGTGTGTATTTTTAATACAGACATTAATGTTTTAATATTATTAAGCTGACTTATAATTTCTTTTGTTATATTTCACCATTCATTTTTAGTCCCTGTGCATTTATTCATACATGATAAAAGCAAAAAGTCATTGGAAGGACAAGAAAGAAATATCTGACGGTATAACCTGTAACTAAACATAATCATTGAAAATACAGGGATAAACTTAGAGGTTCTGAACTCAAAAAGAGCCCACAGTCACTGTACCAAAATGAATTCGTCAATGCTTAATCATTTCAAGAAGTAGCAGGGGATCAAGAACTAGTGGCACTGAAGGCATTAGTGAAAAAACAGTGATTCAGGAATTGATGGAATACAAATTGAAATGTTTCAACAAACTAATACAGCATTGGAGATACTCATTTGTGCCAAGAAATTTAGAAACCTGGCCAGCTGATTGGCAGAGATCCTGTTTGTTACCATTTCAAAGAAAGGTAAACCAACAAAATGTATAAATTATCAAACAATATCATTAATATCACATGTAAGTAAAATTTTTCTAAAGAACATTAAAAAATATTTGTAGCAGTACATCCACAGGTTGTAACCAGAAATACAAGCCAGATTCAGAAGAGGACATGGATTTTGGCTGAAAACAGAATACCAGAAAGATGTTTATTTGTGCTTTATTGGCTGTGAAAGGCATTTAACTGTGTCGATTGTAAACTATGGATAATATTGCAAAGAATGGGAATTCCAGAACACTTAATTGTTTTCTGGAATCTGTCCAAAACAAAATTCATGAGGAATCTATACAAAACCAAGAGGCAGTCATAAGAACAGAACAAAAGGATACTACTGAATGGTGTTTAAAATCTGGGTCCCAGTGTTGTATCCTTTCACCAAAGTTAGTCTGTATGTTGAGCAAAGGCATCAATATTGGAAGAAGACTCATTAACAACCTGCAATACGCAGATGACTCAACTCTGCTTGTTGGAGTCAAAGAGATTTAAGATAATGACTGATGAAGATGAAATACTACAGCCTTCAGTATGGATTAAACTCAATCTGAAGAATACAAAACCTTAAAAGTGAACCAGTAAATACCATCATGATAAATGGAGAAAATATTAAAGTTGTCAAAAATTTCATTTTGCTTGGCTCTACAGTCGATGCTCGTGGAAGCAGCAGTCATAAATCAAATGATGTATTTGCAAAAATATGAAGCAACAACCATCCCTCCCTCCCACAATATTCTCTGCTTCCCCTATTGGGTTAGATAATTCATTGCAATGGCCACACAAAACTCAGGCACCAGTTATGGGGTCTATTAAGGAAGTTAACAGGTTACTAACAATAAAGGATCAGAAAATCCTCAGGGCACGGTTTTTTTCAGTCAGCTGCTAAATGTCCACAGGACACAGCTGCTAAATGTCCACCATAAGCCTCAGCCTGAAGGCACTTGGTTCTAGTTCCATGCATGTCTGCAAACCTATCTCTTCAACCTAAATGCCTAGAGGCACCACACTGTAAAAACAAGCTTTTTACCCCAAACCACTCAGCTTTACTTACCCCATGGGCTGGGAAACCCACTGCTCTGTCTTGTGCTCTGATTCTTGGTTCTGCTTCTGCTCCTCTGTGTCAAGGAGGTTCAAAGCTCAGGGATCTTGGGGTCCAAAGGATACACTCCATTCCTGGCTCTTCTTTGATAGCAGTGAGATTCCCCCCTCCTGCTTTTGTGATGGTTCATTTTATACCCATGCTAGAGTTCCAGGTTTTTATGATTGCAATTAATTCTTGACACAGCTAACATTCACAGCTGAATCATATAATCCTGTTATTATCTTGTCCTACCATCTCTTACGAAGATCCAGCAGGGCAGAGATGTTGGTGAGAGTTACAGACTGTAGCTATAAGAGACATTAGATAATTCACTATAACACAGTCACACCCATGAAAGCTTGTAAACCAGCCACTGAATGCCTTTATCTCCCATTTTAGATACTAAATTGCCTATCCCTCTCAACCCAGTACTATTAGGAGACCAGCATGTTCCTTGATGTAAAGAGCCTTCTGTTCTTGTTGGAACTTTGGGCATCTGCATTCATTTAAAAAAACTAATAATAAGGTCCAGTCTACAACAAGGCATCACATTTCATCACATTTACAGCAATTTACACGAATTCAGACATCTCTTCATTTGGTTGCTTCTGGTCAGTTCAGCCCTAGCCATGCTCTCTAGGTCAAATTGGTACCAACTCCAAGTTTAGGAGTCCACACATTTCTCCCTGCACTCCAGATCAGCTGACCCTGTCACTCTTCTAAGCCCTATCCCCCATGGGCTAGGTCAGTGCCCATAGGTTCAGGAGTCCAGGACAGCTCCCCAAACTTTAGACAGCCCCTTCCTCTTCTCTCAACTCATTTCTTCATTGCTGCATCCTCTCCCACTTATATTCACCAAGTGGATGATGACTGCTTGCCTGAAATTCAAAATGCCAGTAATTTTTGTTTCTGCAGGTCTTTCCTTCAAAGGTAAATCTGTTCTCTCAGCATTTTTGAGTGGTGCACAGCTTTCAACTGTATAAGTAGGCTGCTGTTGTTAAGTGCTGTCAAGTCCATTCCGACTCATAGCGACCCTATATAGTTTCCAAGGAGTGACTGGTAAGTTTCAACTGACCAGTGCTTATCCTACAGCACCACACCAGGACTCCAAAATAAGGCCTGTTCCTTCTGTGCAATTTCTAACTCCCCTTTTAACATACCCAATCACGTACTGGCTGCAGCTCTTACAAACTCTCTGTAATTATGACACGCAAGTAACTATTGCCCCAGGTGACTCTTCTTCCTTGAGCTGCCACATAACATCTCTTAAGCAAAGTTACCATTTATGAAACAAAAGTTTCATTTCCCATGTTCCTTCATTCTTTAACCCCATGATTCTGTGAGTCTGGAGCCATTGCAACAAACCCCACTTCTGACACCACAAACTGCAAAAATATGAAGCAACAACCATCCCTCCCACATACACCTCTCTTTTGGGTTTGATAATTCATTGCAGTGGTCACACAGAACTCAAATACTATACTAACCGTTAAGGGGTCCAGGGAAGTTGATACGTTATAATACAGGATCACATAATTCTCAGGGCACAGATGTTCCAGTCAGTTGCTGATAAATGCCCACAAAACACACAACTCCACTATAACCCTCAGGCTGAAGGCACTCCACTCTAGCTCCATGGATCAACAAGTCTACCTCCCCTACTTAAGTAACTGAAGGCACCCCACCTTAAAAACAAGCTTAATGCCCAAATTCAGTCAGCTTTACTTGCTTAGTGCACTGGGAAATCCACTGCTCTGTCTTGTGCTCTTGATCATAGTTCTGCAGCTGCTGCTCCTCTGCCACCCCTCAAAGCTTTCTATCTCTGGGTCAAGGAGGTTCAAGGCTCAGGGATTTGAAGGTGTAAAGGATGTGCTCCACTCCTGGCTCTATCTCTTCAATGGCAATAAGATTTCCTCCTCCTGCTCCTGAGATGATTCATTTTATACCCATGCTAGAGTTCCAAGGTTTTACAATTACAGTTAACTCTGCTGACTTCCAAAGCTGAATTATGTCATCTTCTTCCACCATCTCTCACCCAGACCTAGTAAGGCAGAAATGTTATTTGGTAGGAATTACAGACTGTGACTACAAGAATTAGATAATTCACTACACCACAGTGTTGAATTAGGCAAATCTGCTGCAAAGAACTTTTTAAAGTGTTTAAAGAGCTAAGATACCACTTTAGGGCTAATGTGTGCCTGACCCAAGCCATGATGTTTTCAATCATTCATATACATGTGAAAGATGGACTAGGAATAAGGATGACCCTAGAAGAAATGATGCAGTTCAGTTCTGACGTTGGTGAAGAATATGGAAAGTACCACGGATTACAAGAAGAACAAACAGATCTACCTTGAAAGAAGTACAGCCAGAATGCTCCTTAGAAGCATGGATAGCGAGACAATCTCTCATACTTTGGACATGTTGCCAGGAAAGACCAGTCCCTAGAGAAGAATACCATGCTTGGCAAAGTAGAGGTTCAGCAAAATTGACACAGTGGCGGTAACAATAGGCTCACAGCAAAAATTATGAGGATGATACAGGACTGGTCAGTGTTCTGTTGTGCATAGGATTTATATGAACTGCAACCCACTCGTTGTCACCTAATTACGATAACATACCTTTTTTTGTTACCCATTCTAGATTATAGTAAATCAATCTTCAAGCACCAACTTCACCATGTAGAAATATTAAAATCTTATTATTCTGTTCCCAACTATGAAGATAGAACAAATCTCCAGTTTCTCCTTCCCTATTCTGTTCTGATACTACTCACCCCCATGACACATCTTTCTCTGGTCCTAGCCACCTGAATAGGTCAGGTGTGGCACTATAGGGTAATCACTGGACTAGTAACTGCAAGGGCAGCCATTTAAGCTCACTAGCCACTCTGTCAGACCCTATACAGGTCCACTATGATTCAGAACCAACTTGATAGCACACAACAGTCACCTGAAGCTTGGTCAGAACTGCCAAATTAAAAAAAGGATACCATACTTAAGAGAACTAAGTAGGCAGATGTCAGTTGCAAACTCAGAAGCATATCTGACACCCTTACTTCTGACTTGTCCACATATTCAGGATTTTTCCATATCCCTTCAGGCTGTATGCTCAGGGACCTCCCTGGTATTGCTCACTTTCACTCTCTGTTTCCCACTACAATGGATTTGGCCATTCACTGGAATGACTCACATAAGTGAGTTATACTTACAATTCCCGATTTAAAATAATGAAAGGATGTAAGTCAGGATTAGCATTAAAAGGAAACACATGGGGCAAGACTCAGGAGGAATCCAGTGCAGATTTTCTCTGTTACAAATAGGGCACGTTACCATCCCACATACATCTATGTCTTTCTGTAACCACGAAGTCCTTGAAATTTGTTTCCACAGCGTTTTTTGACTTCACTGGAACCTCATTAAAGATGCACAGTTTTACATAATTAAATAAATGTCCACCTCCCTTCCAGAGATTACCAGACCTGATGGTCTTTGGGTCTGACCAGCCCCTGAAGCATTCAAACGAATTCTGATGTGTTGCGTGGAGATTTTAGATAATAAAGTTGCCACAGTCACTAAGGAAATTCCAAGGGATACCTCTCTGGAACCAAGAACAAAGTCCAAATTGAGTTATTTGATCACACTTACTCTTGTTTTTCTTACCTGAAATCAAAAGGGGTTTAAGAGAAAGTCTTATTATTCTATTTTAGCAGCTAACCATTATAGTTTCAAGTTTTTTGTCTCCCTCACCTTTTTCTAACTTCTAGAACTCGCAACTTCTTCAACACCTTCCCTCCACATATCTGTATTGTGCATCCTTGAGGAGTTCAAAATATACTCTATGTCTTCAAGTTATCATTTCTAGATGTTATTTTGTAAGCTTCATATTCAGAAGTTCCTTTTAAACATGTGCTTTTTTATTTTAAAATGATTGTATTTTTTATATTTCAGGCAAATAGAAACTGCATAGCAGTTGCTTCCAGCCATGACATTCAAGAACTAGATGTTTCTGGAATTCTGGCTACACAGATCTATACTTGGGTGGATGATGATACAGAAATGGAAACCAAAGGGTACCCTTATACTTTATTTTTATTCAGTAACTTTGCAATATAAATGACTATATCCACTGTACTAAAAACTTTCAAAAGATTATTTAAAGGAATACTCTAAGATTGTAAGCAAAGCAGAGTTAAAAAGGGAAGCAGGAGCATCAAAGAAAGGAACTGAGAGTTAGAAGAAAGTAAATGAAGGAATCTGAAATTGTTTGAGTATGAAGGCATTTTCTATGAGTTGAAAGTAATAATTGAAGAAAAATTTAAAAGGAAATATACAAACATAAATATTAGAGAATTCAGATGTAAAAGAAGACCAAAGAGTTGATAAATTACTTTCATTCTGGGTGATGTTCCTTTGTAGCTCAGAAGACTTCTTGGTTATACGTGCTCGTGATGATTTAACAGCTGTTCAAGGTACAACACCATACACACACAGCAATCCTGGCACTCCAATCAATATGCCATGGCTCGGTAGTACACAGACTGGCAGAGGAGCATCTGTGGTATGTAAAATTAAAAACATTTAAATCTCTTTTTAAGTGTCCTATTTTCCTCACTAGGCTAATGGATATAGGATTATATTAATTCCTGAATTTTCAGTAAGTCTTAGATGCTAGAAATTGATGTATTGTTTATAGAGAATAATATGCCTTCATTTGATAATAAAATTAAGCAAACTTTGATATATAAAAGAACCAAAACAATTTTTCTGCAATGATGTAGTACCACCTTCAGCCCTGATTACATTAGATCTGATGCATATTTATACCTCTAAAAAGTTCCATTGTTGATACTTAAGATGTAGAAATCAATATACAGAAATTTTTTCAGTGGTTTTCTAGTTGGTGGATTTCCCCTACACTAATTTCACTAGACCTGTAATGACATCCACATGTGAGGAATGCTTTCCTTGTTCACCTCCCCCACCAAAATATTATTGCACTAATTTATTAGAGCCTGATATGGTGCTGTAAGATTAGCACTGAACCGCAAGGTCTGTTTGAACTCCAAGGTTGGCAGTTAAATCCACCAATTGCTCCTAGGAAAGCCTATACCAAGTTGCTATGAGTCGGAACTGACTCGACAGGACTAAACTTCAATTAGTGACAGTAAGTGTTAAGTAAAGATTTAATCATGTTTAATAATGCCATATACTATTTTATAATTAACACATTTCTTTATAACTGATACAATTCTTTGAGATATGTTTTACAGACATTAGTTACTACTTAAATTTTGTGAATGAAATGTGAAATTCAGAAAGGTCAAGTAACTTAACTTTGGTTACCATGTCAGATTTGTGGCTTGGTTTGTTTTAAACTCCTCCAGTCCCCTACTTAGTTCAGTGATTTTTATGTAGGAGGTTTTGTTGTCTCTTGGTGCCAGTTCTGAAGCATAGTGCTCCTATCTACAAAAAAATGACACAATGTCAGATCCTGCACCATCCTCACAATTATTGCTGTGTTTCAACCTACGGTATCATTCCATCTCATTAAGGGTCTTCCTCTTTTCTGCTGACCCTCTCCTTTACCAAGCATATTGTGCTTCTCCAGGGACTGGCAGCCTCCTGATTACATGTTTGAACTACTTGACACAATCTCACCATCCTCACTTCTAAGGAGCTTTCTAGCTACACTTCCTTCAAGACAGATTTGTTTGTTCTTCTGGCAGGCCATGTTATGTTGAATGTTTTTCACTAATGCCATAATTAAAAGGCATCAGTTCTCTAGTGTTCCTTATTTATTGTTCAGCTTTCACATGCATATGGAAGCAATTGAAAATTGACATCTTGACTTCAAATGACATCTTGACTTCTAAGCCCTTTAAAGCGATCTTTTACAACACATTTTCTGAGTGCAATAAATCATTTGATTTCTTGACTGCTGTTCCCATGGGTGTTGATTGTAAATCCAAGCAGAATGAAGTCTTTGACAGCTTTAGTCTTTTCCATACTTAATAATGGTATATAAGTCCAGTTGTGAGGATTTTCATTTTCTTTACATTGAGCGCAGTCCATCCGAAGGTTGTGGTCTTTGGTCTTCACCAGTTGAATGCCTTTGTATGTCCAGTGAAACACAAATAATCATCTTTCTGGTATTCTCTGCTTTCAGCCAAGATCCATCTGATGTCAACAATGATATCCCTTGTTACTTGTCCTCTTCTGAATCCAGCTTCTGAATTGCTGACATTACCCTGTTGATATACGTACATCTTTTTTGAATTATATTCCACATACTTTTATTTGCATCTATTATTAATGATATTGTTAGATAATTTCCCCATTCTATTAGATCACTTTTTTTGGATTAGTCACAAATATTGATTTCTTATATTTGGTTGGCCAAATTTCTTGGCATAGATGAGTGAGCTGCATTTGTTTGTTGAAACATCTCAGTCGGTGTCATGTGAATTCCAGGAGCCTTGTTTTTCACTTTTTCCTTCATTGTAGCCTAGACTTCTTCCTTCAGTACTATCAATTCTTGATCAGATGCTACCTCTTGAAATGATTGAACATCAACCTATTGTTTTTGGTCCAATGACTCTGTATATAGCCCATCTTCTTTTGATGCTTCCTGAATAGTTTAATATTTTGCCCATAAACTCCTTCAGTATTTTCTTTTCCACTCTTTTCTTAATACATCGTTTCTTTCTTGTGCTTTGCTACTCTATATTCACCACCATTCATCTGTCAGTTTGTTGTGCTGTGGTGACTTTTGCGTTGCTGTGACTCTGGAAGTTATGCCATGTTTTAAATACCACCACAGTCACCTATGGTGAACAGGTTTCAGCTGAGTTTCCAGAATAAAACAGTCTATGAAGAAGGATAGACAGACTACTGCTGAATCTTTAGTCACTGAAAACTTTATGAATATCAGTGGAACATTGTCAGCATCAGAATATTGTCAGATATAGTACCAGAAAATGAGCCCTTCAGGTTGGAAGGCACTCAAAATATGACCGGGAAAGAGCTGCCTCCTCAAAGTAGAGTTGACTGTGATGATGTGAATGAAGCAGAGCTTTCAGGACCTTCATTTAATGATGAGACATAACTCAAAATGAGGAGAAACAACTGTAGATAGCCATTAATAATCAGAACATGGCATGTAAAAACTATGAATCTAGGAAAATTGGAAGCTGTCAAAAAGGAAATGGAATGCATAAAGATAGATATCCTAGGCATTAGTGAGCTGAAATGGACTGGTAGTGACCATTTTGAAACTGACAGTTACATGGTTTACAATGCCAGGAATGCAAATTGAAGAGGAATGGCATCACATTCATCATCAAAAAGAGCATTTCAAGATCTGTCTTAAAGTACAATGTTATCTGTGGTAGGATAAAATCCATATGCCTACAAGGAAGACCAGTTGATGGAGCTATTATTCAAATCTATACACTATAGCCACTAAAACCAGTGATGATGAAATTGAAGAATTCTACCAAGTTCCTGTCTGAAATTGATCAAACATGCAATCCAGATCATTACTGTGGCGACTGGAATGCAAAAGTTGGAAACAAAGAGGAAGGATCAGTAGGTGGAAAATATGGCCTTTTTGATAGAAATGATGCTGGAGCTCTCATGATAGAATTTTGTAAGACCAATGATTTCTTCGTTGCAAATATCTTTGTTAAACAACATAAAAACAACTATACACGTAGACCTAAATAGTTGTAATACATGGAAATCAAATTTATTACATCTATGGAAAGAGACAGTGGGAAAACTCCATATCATCATCCAAAACAAGACCAGGGGCAGACTGTAGAACAGATCATCAATTGTTCATATACAAATTCAGGCTGAAGCTGAAGAAAATTGTAACAAGTCCATGAGAACCAAAATAAGACCTTGAAAATATCTCACCTGAATTTACAGATCATCTGAAGTGATTTGATGAGTTAGACACTAATGACCAAAGACCAGAAGAGTTGTGAGATGACATCAAGAACATTATAACAGAAAGAAAGCAAATGGTCATTAAGAAAAGAAAGAAGGAAAAGACTAAAATGGATGTTAGAAGAGACTCTGAAACTTGCTCTCCAGCATAGAGATGCTAAAGCAAATGCAAAAATGAGGAGGTAAAGAGCTGAGCAAAAAATTTCAAAGGGTAGCTCAAGAAGAAGTCAAATACTATAATGAGATGTGCAAAGACCTCGAGTTAGAAAACCAAAAGGAAACAACATGCGCAGCATTTCTCAAACTTGAAAGAACTGAAAAAAAAATTCAAGACTTGATTTTCAATACTGAAGGATTCTCTGGTATTGTGGGTTAATGCTCTGGACTGCAAGTTCGGTTTCATCTACAACGTCAGTGGTTCTGGCTCACTAGCCACTCCTCAGAAACTCTGTTACCAGATCACTGGGAATTGGCACTGACTTGACAGCACTTAACAACAACAATGAGCAGAAGAATATTGAATGGTGCAGAAAGTATCAAAAGAAGATGAAAGGAATGCACGAGTCACTGTACCAAAAAGAAATGGTCAATATTCAACCGTTTCAAGAGGTAGCATATGATCAAAAGCTAATAATCGTGAAGGAAGAATTCTAAGGTGCACTGAAAGCGGTAGCAAAAAACAAGGTTCCTGGAATTGATGGAACACAAATGGAAATCCTTCAACAAACTGATGCAACACTGCAAAAATTCACTAGTCTATGCCAAGAAATTTGGAAGACAGTTAGTTACCTGGCCAACTGACTGGAAGAGATCCATATTTGTGCCCATACCAAAGAGAGGTGACCCAACAGAAAATAGAAATCATTAATATCAAATGTAAGTAAAATTTTTCTGAAGATAATTGAAAAACGCCTGCAGCAGTACATTGACAGGCAGCTGCCAGAGGTTCAGGCTGGATTCAGATGAGGACATGAAATGAGGGATATCATTGATGATGTCAGATTAATCTTGGCTGAAAGCAGGGAATACCAGAAAGACGTTTACCTATGGTTTATTACTGCCCAAGGCTTTCGATTATGTGGATCATGACAAACTGGGCAACATTGTGGAGAATGAGTATACCAGAACACTTAATTGTACTTATGAGGATCCTGTACCATAACCCAAGAGGCAATTGTTAAAACAGAACAAGGGAACACTGAATGGATTAAAATCAGGAAAGGTGTATGCCAAGGTTGTATTCTTTCACCGTATTTATTCAATATGTATGCTAAGCACATAATCTGAGAAACCAGGTTATATGAAGAATATGTCATCAGGATTGGAGGAATACTTATTAACAACCTGCGATATGCAGATGATACAACCTTGCTTCCTAAAAACAAAGAGGACTTAAAATACTTACTGATGAAGATCGAATACCACAACCTTTTGTATGGCTTGCACCTCAATATAAAGAAACAAAAATCCTCACCATTGGATGCATAAATAACATCAAGATAAATGGAGAAAGGATTGAAGTTGTCAGAGTTCATTTTGCTCAAATCTACCATGAATACTCATGGAAGCAACAGTCAAGAAATTAAACGAGGTATTGCATTAGGC